TTTTGGGGGTGCTTATATTCGAGGGTGCTTATTTTCAGAGAAATACAGTATATAAATATAGTAATTTAGTAAAATTTCACATTTATACTATTGATAAATTAAAGATAAATCAAGATCTTGACCATGCAAGATGATTCTTATCAAGTTACTTGCAAATTTGGATTTTTAATAATTGGTACTCAACAAATAAACTTGAGCTGATCTCAATATTGTACCACTAAATAAATATACTTTCATTAGTCAGACAAAACCTTACATATCCATCTTGCAACAATAAAAGATTGACTAATAATAATTACAATAAGTTTTTGGGAACTGTTTAAATCCGTTAGACGTTGTCTTGAATAGGAATTCACTTAGCAAGTCCAGAGTAAAGAGGTAGCACTACTTTTGACAGCTCTGGAAAGTCTGAGAAGAAAACCAATAAGCTGTGGATCCAGATGAAGACCGAGTGTTTGGCAAGCACTATACCAACCAAACACCGGAATCGACCAGAGGAAAAGGGCACAGGCCAGTATCTGGGTTAAGCCAGTAGGAAAGTGGGTAATGTAACTTGTAGACCAAACCATGCTATCTGGATTGGAAGTTTGGTGAAACAGTAAAAGGGTTCCTGATTGGATGAGTAAGGGCTGAGGTAGAGTAAACTCTATAAAAGCAGAAGTAGTTAACAGTAGTGGCTTCAGATCGCAAGTACTTGTTCTTAGACTTAGTGTAAATTACCAAAGCCTAGGTCAGCCTAAATGTAGTTATAGAAGGCTCTAGCAGGTTTACCTCGAGGACAAAGGACCCCTATAGGTGGGTCTGTCTTAAAGTCCTAAGTTAAGGATCTGAAAATAAGAGAGTACTAATATATTCTTACTCAGTTAGAAGATTAATGTACATAAGTGCAGAGAGTTTAAATAGGTAACTCAGTAGGGTTATAGATATGGCAGCTAGTGTAGGACTTAGTAATAAGGTCTACTTAAATAGTCAACCAAAAGGTGCAAATGTGGCTAGTTGTACTCTCCAAATATGTGTATAGTATGGTGTATACCATACTATAAAAGTTAACAATAATTGAATAAAAGGAGAGCGACCAAGAGGTCACCTTAAAATCAAAAAAAAAACAAAAAAAAAACAAAGATCAATAACTTCTAAATCAGAGCTTAGTTCATTTGTATCATTTGATATTTTACAAGTTCTGAAAGATTCAATGATAATTTCATCAGAAATTGCCTCTCAAGAACATTTAACCCATGTGCAAACATCACTTAATTTAGCTTGACGAAGATTTTCTTTAGCAGTTTTTCCAGCACCACCTTTTGCCATTCAAATATGCTATTCCTTATACAAATTATCTTTGAATGGCTTATTAATTGAAATATCAAGAGGTTGGCAAATACTAGTTAGGCCTACTGGAATTACCATCAGATTAATACTATGTTCACAAAATTTACTTTTGACTAAATCATCCAAGTGACCTTTAAAAGAATCATATACTAGCTTTGCTGGATTTCTTCTGGTTCTATTTTTTAATTGTATATCATTAAAATAATCTACATATTTTAGCATTAACTCACTATTCATCTAGATATTTTTCTGAAACCAAATGACAATACCAGGAGGAATTTGTTCACTACGATTTAATCATTTTTTCTTGAATATGCAAATTGGAGGGAGCTTACTCCCATCTACAATAATGAATCAAAGATGTGTAAATATATAAATACATTAAAAAAAAATATCATTTTAATTTTTTTTTTTTTTGAAAAAAAGACATCCCGCTGCACATGATAGAACAACTGTTAACCTATTCTTATTGTTATCCATAACCCGAATATGAACTGTTTTTTTACCCATTAGATTGACAGTAAAGTTACTAGTCATGTCAAACCAGACTGGAGTTTCATCCATATTAAAAATATTGCAATATCATAAAACTTTTCACTTTTAAGATGGATAACATATTGACAAAATTTTTCTAGCAACTCCTGAGTTTGTTCAGGAAGTTTTTGTGAAATTCTAGTATGCCGATGTAATGCCAACTGATTTCTTTTTAAAAATGCAACTATCTAACGATAAGATGTCTTGAAAGTTTTTGCTGCATCACTATAAAGAAGCATTATATCAGGTTTTTGCAAAATCTTCATCATTTGATTTTTTATAGCTATATATATCACAGCTAATACCTGTTTCCTTTGTTCAATAATCTAGGTATACAAGCTTTTTTCAGCTTCAGGATAAAGAGCCCTTCAACTCGACCCAATTTTTTTGCTTTTACTATTCACCTGAACTATCCAGCTTATACTTGCTTTTACCCGACATCCAATCATACTGCCATTAAGATTAAAGTTGTTTGTTGCTAGATTTTTTCTGTATTTCTTCGCATAGCTAACAATCTCTATTTTTTGTTTAATAGAGTAGGAAGACCTTGACCATTTAATAGCCTTAGACTTATGTTTGATAATTCTGTTTGTTTTGTTTAATGAAATATTTTCCTTGTTGGTATTATAACAGCAGATAAATAAGTGACCTCTAAGTTGAAAAATATTTTCTTGATTTGTATCATTTTATTGATTCAAATCATTTTCTGGACTTAAATTAGGAGCATTTCTTTGTTCTAATCCAAGAATATTTCCTTGAAAATTTCTTTGCTTTGATTCTAAAACATTTCTTTGAATGTTTTTTTGCTTTGGCCCTGGAACATTCCTTTGAATGTTTTTTTGCTTTGGCTCTGGAACATTTCTTTGATTTGACTTTGAAACATTTTCTTGATTTGATTTTGGAACATTTCTTTGTTTTGACATAGAAGCATTAATTTTATATTTTGGTCAGTCCATATAGTGTTGAATCAATTTTTTTTTTTTTTTTTAAGTTAAACGTTAATGCATATTTTATGCATAATTGAACAGACTCAATCACTATTATAAAAGTTGATCAAAATAAGACAAGAACAATTATAGTATGAACAATCAAATGAAAATCATGATAAGATATTCTTATCAACTTTCTGTATAGTGAAAATAAACAAGTTTTTTTTTTGTACCTAAATTTTTTATTTGTATATGAAGTACCTGAAACTAAGCACCTCTATAACAAAAAAGGGGTGCTTATTTTCGAAAGAATACAGTATTTGATTTTGTTTTGTTTTATACTCTGCTTTCATTTTGTTTTAATAAATTCACAGCTTCTTTTAATAATTTCATGGTTTGGATGTATAGGCTAAGATAGATTTGCAATATTAAGTAATGATATTCTAAACCAAAATATTTGAAATTGTAATAAAATTGTAAAATAAAATAAAATAAATAAAAAATAATAATAATACATTGTTATCAATATTTACTGTTTCTTTGAATTCAATATCTAAATTTTCTATTTCAGGTGGATCAACAAAAGTAGTTTGTCATTTTTCTTTTAAATAACAGTTTATTAATTTTTAATTGATTTTGAATTACTAATATTCTATTATATGTTATAATTGTCATTTCAGAATACTTTCAAAATTCTCTAATTTAAAGCATCCAATTTCAGAACCTAATTCATTATCACTAAATTCAGAACCTTTAATGCTTTCTAATATGAAATATTCTATGTCTTCTAAATCAGAACCTTTCATATCTTCTAATTTGAAACTTATTATACTTTCTAATTTGGGACTTTCTATGCTTTTCAATTCAGGATCTTTCATGTTTTTTAATTTAATATATCTGAATTAAAATTTTCATTATCATTATCATACTATTAGAATATTACTTGAATTTGTATCACTATGAGGTTGTTGACCAAATACCATATAATAGTGTGTCATTTATGAGAACAATATTGATTTTTAATCGCCACCACATAATAAAAATTAAAAATTAAAAAAATAAAAATAAACAAAATAAAAATAAAAATAAATAAAATAAAATAAAAAAATCAATAAAATAAAATAAACTAAAAAATAAATAAAAATAAATAAATAAATAAATAAAATTAAATAAATAAATAAATAAATAAAAATATTTACATATGAAACTTTTTAAACCAATGCTTCTGTCAGTTCTTCCTATATCTTCTATCAACACACCTAGCTTTATTTCAATGATTTCATTATCTTTCTCTATAAGTTCTTAACATTATTGAATCCAAGAACAACTAGTTACCATTTTTATTGTTGGCCAAAACTTCAGCATTTCCTTAAATATATTAACAACAAACTCTTCCCTATTATCAGTATGGAGAATCGCAAAAAGACCATATATAAATAAAAATAAAGAAACATCATGGCAGCTACTTTAGCTGATATAGAATGAGCTAGTTCAGCATAAGAGAATCGACTGAAATGGTCACTTATATGAAAGATATACTTATATTCTCTATCAAGAATAGCCATCATATTGCTAGTATCAAGTTAATACAATTTAAATTTTGTTTAATATATAATTAAAGTTAATATAATACACATACTTGAATGTAATTTGAAAAACCTTTGAAAACAATAAGACACATTGGTAAAACTCTTTGAAATATGTTGAGTAAGACACACTTTGCATTCATTAATCACATTCTTAACTAACTACTGGAGAATATAGAAATATCTAACCTGAATCTAATAAGAAGGTTGTAATTATTATTGTTATTTATATTTTTTAAAACAAGCATAAATTTACCTTTTTTCG